ATTATTTTAAAAACCTTTTTAAAAAACTTAAAATCTTTGTTATTAAAATTGATAAAATATATATTAAACTATATTTTTTATATAGTAATAATATTATATTTAACATTTTATAAAGAAATTAACACTTTTTTTTAATTTCGCAGGCAAATTTGCCTGCTATATAGTCTAAGAGATAAATTAAAATATACTTATATGAAAAGGTGTCTAGAATATGACTTGATGGTAAAGTATATTTTCTTTAGAAGTTGTACTTCAAGATTTAAGCTTTTCAAATTTTTTGAATAAATTAAAGATCAGGTAAATAAATCTATAATAAAACAATAGTATATTCATGATATTATAAGATTGATACATATGATACATATAATATTAATAAAAGTTACGTAATTTTTGATTTTCTACATTTTTAATTAATACATAAAACTATATTAATTATACTAGATTTGCTATTAATTTAAATATTTAGCAAAATTATCAATAATTTTAAAATATTACGAGATTTAATAATTAAATAAGACTTATAATACTAAGTAAAGTTGTATATCTGGTAATTTTCTACAATATTACTTATTATAACAAATTATTATTATATATTAAAATTTTGTGTTAAATTAAAATTCGTTAAAATTTAGCTTAAATTCTTAATTCTGGTAAAATTATAAATCACATGATGATGTAATTACGTACTGAAGTTTTGTATTACGTTTTTGGTAAAACAATTACCATGACATTTATAATTATATCTTATTATAAATAATAATTACATATTATTAATCTTAAAATTATTAATATACATTAAAAAATCTATTATATAATTATATCTTAAAACTATTTATATTTTTTTATAATTATATTTTATATATTAATATCAAATTTCATATATACACTAAATACTATACATATCTAATTTTTTCTAATATTATAAAATTATTTATTAATATTATAAATAAACTAGTAATATATTAATAAATTATTTAAATACTAATAATAAAACTCTATTTATATATAAATATCAAAATTTATTATACATATTTATCTAATAATTATTTAATAAGAAAGTAATTAATAATATAAAATTTGAATATTATAGAAAAGAAATAAAAAAGCATTTTAATGAGCAAATAAATTATTCCCAATACTATTTTATACAATATATTAAAAAATTAAATATCATTTTCTTTAGTCTTTTAAGAACAAACTTTAGTATTAAATCTGAATAAATAATCTGAAATTTTATTATTTTAATTACTTATAAAAATGGATAATCTTTTATATATCAATACAATAAGTAATATATATACATATTACAGAAAATAAATTTTGCTTCTAATATTACAATTTATGTAAGGTATGAGAGGTTTATTATTAAAATAAGATCTTTGCAATAGAAAGAGGGAAACTGCCAGAAAAATTAAATTTACTTTTATATACTAAATATGATTTTTTTGCTAAATATGTTCAAATTTAGCATCAACTCATTTTTTATTTTTTTTGGCAGTTTCTCCCCTTTCTATTGTAAAGGTCCTATATAATTACTATAATTTATAATCTGATTTTAATAACAAATGTCTATATATTTATCAATTTCTAAAAGTAAAACTATCACAAATATATTTTTTTCTTATAATTATAACTATTATCAATTTTAGGATTTAGATCAAGAAAAGAGAATACATTACAAAATTTTCTTATTATCAATAATGAAATTTAAGTAATATAAAAGATTATTATAATAATATAAAACTTCATTTAATAATCTCTTAATTATATCAAATTTTTTTATGTATTTTAATATTTTTAATATTTTATTTCATAAAATAATCTCTTTAAGCTTTTTTTTGTAAAAAAATAATATTATTATGATATTTTTAACAATTAATATTTCTTATAAAATCTGTATTATAAAATAAATATTTATAAAAAAGAAACAAATAATATAAAATGTATAAATATATATTAGTAATTAAAATCCTAACTTTTTTTTATAACTGCAAATATTTTCTGCTGAATATAAAACAAATAGTTTGCAAGAAAGTGATGAATTTTAACAATTATATCCCTTATAAATACAATCTGGTAAAATACTTAACATTTATTTTCTAAAGAAAAATATATATTATATGGTTAATTTTTTAAACCTATTGTTTTGAATTCAATCTGAAAGATAAAGCTATATTGTGAATTAAAAGAAAATAAAATTAACTCAATACAATAAATTAAATATACTAGTTTTATCATATGATCTAGTAGAAAATTTTTATATGTATCTCTAGAGCTTATTTGATGATATAATTTATAATACTATCAAAAGTTTAAGATTAAACATTAGGAAAATGAAATATATACAATTGATATTGCTATTTGAAACTATAATTTTATAGTTTAGACTTACTGAAACTAGTTTAGTTAAATGTCAAAATCAGTTTAGATAATAGTCAAAATTGCTAAAACTAGTTTTATTTAGCTGAAAATAATTTTTATTAATTTAGAATAGCAACCTTAAATATAATATAATATTGAAATAGTAAACCTATATAATGGTATTTTATCTAGATCACTTATAGAATTATAAGTCTGGAATTTTAATATAATAATATGCTTTATTTGATGCAATGTTAACTAAAATTATATAATTTTTTGGATTATATTTTGAAGATTCTAGTATCACAAAAATAGTTGGTCAGGAATAACCTATAATCAATATGATTAATTTTATATTATTTGTATTTTTTATTAAAGTTCAAGTTCAGGAAGAAATATCTTAAGATCACTTGAATATTAAGCTAAATTAAGTAGAGCTTTTAGCACAGTTATCAGCTATAAGTATAATGCAATATGCTCAACTTTATAAGTAAGGGTTTTAGGTTATATAAGAAAATCTATATTCTAAATAGTTAGAAAAATTGGTATTGAAAGGATTATATAGTGCTAAAGAAAGTATTGTAGATATGATCCTTCACTCAAATTATAGCTAACAGTATAAATATACTATATTCTTTTAACCTCAAAAAATCTTAATATTCAATAAATTTTATATCTGGATTGTTAAATTCCAATCTATAATCTTTAAGATATCATTTTCAAAAAATTTCTTTGTTAAATAACTATATTACTTAGTAAATTAATTAAAATGTTTTGGATAATTATCTTATTAAAGCATTTTTTACGTTTAATCTTCAATTTTTTTAAGGTTAGTAATAGTTTTATATGAAAACTTCATTAATAAGTGTATTTTAGCAGCATTATATATCTGTTTTCAAAAATATAATCTTATTTAGTATTAATCTTTTTGTGTAGACAAGATAATTTTAAAGCTCAATAAATTAATAAATTACAGTCCAACCAGTTATCCTTTACAGATTTGTTAATATTTTATCATAAAAATTGTGAATTTATTTACTATACAAAATTTTCAGAAAGTTCCAATTTTTCTGAAATGCTTTGATCACTTGGCTTATTTGAGTTGTTATCTTCACTATCTGTTTATGCTACATATGCAGATTCAAGGGTAATGTCCTGGTTAGCTGACTTATGTTGGAGTTTCTTCTTCTTGATGTATTACCTTATATTATCACTAACAATTTTCTTTTATACCAAGTCTAAGAATTCATCAGTCTTTCTATCATCTTCGCAAAGTAAAGGGCTGGCAAGTACCATTTTTTCTAGTACAATAACATTTGCTTTCACAAATAGGTGTATATTGTTTGAGTTTGTCTACTACAGAATCGGATATAATCACAGATAATATCTCTGATATTATTTTCTTATTATTCTGCGACTGTTTGGAATCTTGTTTTAACTTTACAACATTAGCTTTAAGTTCAATTGCATCATCACGTCTAGAATTATAAGCAATAATATCTGTCTTTCTCTTCTCTAACTCTTTGATTCTAGAGCTCAGCATTCTCAGCATCGTATTTAATTCTCTCATTTACAGTCTGCTTTAATATTTCAGCTTTTTCAGTCTCAAGCTCAAGTGATGTGTTGTTTCAATAAATCAAGTTCAGATTCCATATTCTCAGCCTTGAGTTTAGCATTTTCTTGTTTAAGATTAAATTCGGATGTCATTCCGAAAATACTTTTATAAATCTTATAAAAATGTTTAAATAAAAAAATCGCGCTTGTATTGCCTCAATAATTCAAGTTCCAATAACATGATTGATAATATTTTATACACTAACTATTTAAATTTGAATCAGAATGATTCCTCATGTTTGGCAAGAAAAAAATAATTAGGTTATTCATGTATTTTTCAGTAATCATTGCTAAAAATCAATATATACTTTGCTTATATCTTAATTAAGCAAACATATTTTACCAGCAATAATTTTTATTTATTTCTTTCACCTACAGTTACATAGTTACATAGACAGCTATTCAAAATATAAAACAACTTCAGACGATTTTATGCTCAAGATGTTAAAATAAAATAATTAACCGTCACGTTGCTAGTGTTGGTATTTGATGATGATGGAGAAGAGGTTATTCTACTGGAGGAATTGCAAGTGAATTTATAGGTTCCACTACCGGTGAACCCACAGGTGATGTTTCAGGTGAATTTATAAGAGATCCTATATCTGATGTTGTAGGTGTGTGTGGTCGTGATATTGATTTGTTACTTTTATGAGTTTGCTCGAAAACTGATACTAGAAAATCTCGTCCATCCATTTGATTAATGGTTAATAAATTATATAGTAAAGCATCTAGTCCCTTTTAATACCCGCTATTGTGAGTCTGGACACCGTGTCTAAATTTCTTTTTATTTGAAATCTTATTTGAAGTATGGCGATCAACATATATTACATATTGGTTAACGATGTAGATTAAGACAAAATGTTTTATTAAGTTTTGAATGTGATTTTATTCCACAATCGCACACACCACGTCACGCGAAACATATTTTTCCTGCACAAATTGGTTTAAGAAAAAAACAGAATGTGATGGTATTAATTGCTACGTGATGCAGAATCTTGATCCCGCATTGAAGGTACCTTTTAGTTGAATAATGAACACCATTTGTTATACGTTTACGACCTTTCTTTAGCGCTTCATAGAATGCCATTGTGTTCCTTCTAGTACGTGCCTTCCATGATAAAATCACCTTTACGGCCATTACTAGATTTGAAAAGCCGTCGACAGTCCGTGGGATTTCCACGTCTTGCACGTCCATCATTATGACAGTATCTTCAAACAGATACTTTGATACAGAGACTGTTAGACGGAATCCGTTTGATTGTAGGCTGTATGTTTCAATATTCGTGATTCTGCCTTTAGCAGTTGAAGGTAACGTGAAAAACTGAGTCGTTAAAATGACTTTCGAACAATATTCTAGCTTTTGCAGATCGCCTTTTCTTTTACTCCGCGTGTTTCGGACACCGTCCTCCTGAGCCAAAATTTCAGTTCCCAAATATTTGATTAAGTCTTTTCCGTCTAGTTTTGGAGCACTACGGCCACCGATTTCCAAAAGTTCTTTTAACTTTCCATACGCTCCAGATCCAGTTCACTATAGTTTAGCTTAAGGTCATTTTTGCCAAGGAATGCATTTCTCAATAATGGCGTCCAGATATATGAATTAATTCACCTTTGTACATATTTTGAGTTAAGAAGTCGTTTTTATATAAAAAGAAAAAGTGGTAAAATAGGTTCTGCACATAGATAAGATCGTTTGACGCAGTAGAAATATTTATTTGATTTTCAACCAAACATTCTCCTAAAGTTTTCAAATCATCCACTTCGTAAAACTTATCCAAATAATCCAGAACTTGTTCTTCACAATCCACAATGAATTATCGATTTTTTTCTACAGCAAAATTGATGGCCTCACTATTCTTGTCACGAAGTTGATTTGCTATGTGATTGTTGTAGTTTTGGGTAAATATCTCGAACAATCGAGATTATGGAAATTAATGACATTAATATTAAGTGGACTCTTCGCCACTTCGGTTTTCTTCATTTTCTTCATATCTGAGTACGCGGATCCAATACTTACACCATTAAACATGAGTTTTTCACCCGGCAGGATAATTGTCTGATACATTTTAAAACATCGTCTGCTATGTCCCGATTAATGTATTTTCTTGGTTTTGGAACTTAGGCTATTTGGGCTGACGCTAAACAGAGTTTCCTATATTTGTATCAGATTGTTGCGAAGAAGTCTCGGAGAAAGCATTTGTAAGGGAGTAGAGAGGGATTCTTCGTCGTGAATGTCGAATCGTTATCAGTTTGTTCCACTTCCGTTGCACGGATAGCTTGAATCTATGCATTCAAAAAAGTTAGCAAAAGCATTAAGACGTTTTGTAAAACTAAATATTGAGTTATATCCTGACCTTACTCGGTGGTGTCGATAATACTGATAATCTTAATCATTTGTTCGTATTCAGTGAACTCAGAACATGATCTCTTGCGAGCATTCTTAACACAGATATGTAAATAAAAAAAAATTCAATTTGTGTAATCTATATCGATCACAAACCTCGGCTTCTTCGACAGTTTCTTCGCCCAAGTTCTCCATCATATTTTGTGTCTTATTTTTTTATATTAACGTGACATCGTAGCTGTACATATACCAGTTAATAAAAAGCTTAAAAATTATTAGGTACAAGGAAAACTTACAGTCCGCGTAGCTCTTTCTGATTCTAGACGTTTCTGTTCATTTTTGTAACACATTATCTCGATTTCATTCCAAAAGTTATTGACATCCTGATGTAATCGATGCTTCTAGCAAAAGGGGTGAAATACATTAGTATAAAATTAGTGATATTTAATTGATGAATACTTAGTTGAACTAGTTGATGCAAGCAGACCACAACGGACAAGTAGACCATAAGATGAGCAACAAAACAGATGCCCAACGTAGTTATGTGAGTTTTACCCCTTCTCGAGACTCCTGGAAGTCTTCCATACTGTCTGTGACAGACCACAACGGACAAGACCAAAAGATGAGCATCAAGTAGATGCCCAACGTAGTTGTGTGAGTTTTATCCTTCTCGGGACTGCTGGAAACCTCCCATACTGCGAGTCATCCAACCAAAATTTTAATATAACTTACATCAAATCCTTGCAATAGCAGGCCAACACGTTCTGAACTCACTTTCATCAGGAAATCCAAAGTATGTCAGCCTCCTTTTGAAAGGAGAAAGTAAATCTATTTGTCTACTACGGTATTGGTAAAAATCCAAGAAGCGATACTCGTCAGGCTCCGTTTCTGTAAAGTAACAATAGTAGGTATTCATCGTGAGTGTAAAGTTCCAAGTAAAAACGCGACAAAACGCGAGCATAAAGAGCAATCCCAAATCCTGATCGAAAAGGATTCATTAAATGCAGCGTTGATAAATTTTTCTTGGTATTATTTTCAGAATACGTTCATTGTGCTCGATGCCTCCATCGATTGTCTTATATTATAGATATCCATTGATAAAGTTGGTTGGATAATATGGAAAGATAAAGTTGGCCTATTTTCTTGGGAATTTTTTTTTGGAAAGCGAAAGTTGATCATGTAAAGTAACTGAGAGCAACCCGAAGGAGGTTATGGTGATTCATTCACTTTTATCATTATTAGTTTTGGACAATTGTTGTATAGTTGCCTGACGAAACTCCTTGGTTTAGACAGAACGTCGAATGTCGAAAGTGTCAAAACCTTAATAAAATCATATAAACTATGGACTTATTAAAAACCTGTCGAAACTAGAGGTCTAGACGTTTCAAAATAATTTTCGTCATGCAACTATAAATGTTGATGCAAATTCGATTGCTTTTCCTGATGCAATAAAGTACAAGCAAGCATCATCATTGTACCATACATAAATAAAACAAATATTTTGAGACATATCTGTATGACAGAAAATATTCGTTGTAAACTTTCTTTCTAATTTTGATCATTTTCGTCATTTTCTTAATGCATTGTTCTAGGGTGAATTGAATAGAAAAAAGTAATTAAAGAAATTCATTTCTTATTTTCGTAATAAAAAGCTAAATATTACCTTGTTTAGCGTCCATTTCTTTCTTAGTTGTACGAGACAAGGTTTTAATTGCAACGAGCATCAACGAAAATCATTTTTTCGTTGAGAAGAAGTTTTAGGATCAAACCATATAAACCATATAAGCTATTCGTTGTAAAAAAACACAATTAACTGTGAATTTTTTAAATGTTCATACTATTTCCAAATGATAAAGAATCGTTTTTGAATGCTATAGAAGAAACTCTCGATAAAAGAAACCAGGATTTATATTTCTAAAAGGATATATGTTTATAAAAATAATAAACCTATGGTTTTTAAAGTGAAGGTACCAAAATAGAATCTTAAAGGTTTCCAGTTCTGAACTTTGAGGAAAATGTACATTTAGATTCGGTTTCGATGTTGTAGTCCCAACTGAAAAGCAAGTACTCGTTGATTACCTATAATAATGTTAAAGGATTTATTTAACAAATAACAATGACATGATTATTTAAGTACTTTTCTAACCATTGGTACTTAAGAAAATCATACGGTAAAAAAATTACTTGTAAAAAATTAAGTAAAACACGCGCCTAATAAATTTTTAAAATATCGTTACATCACATTTATCGAATATAATTACCTAAAAGGAATAAGATGAAGTACATTTGTATAATTTATGAATCGTAGTTCTGATAGTCATTTGGTTAAGACGTCAGTCCAACCCTATGAACGACTCAGTTCTGCGGTTCAACCCCAATGTTGTGTCGGAAATTTTAAGATTTCCTCAGAACATTATTGGCCCGAAAAACCGAAGCATCATTGGAATCCATTGATTATCCGGCATCCTTCATGTGGGGTATGAAGTTGATAGCGATGCGCCCCATGAAGGTTCTTTAAGTGGTATCATTTGGGACTGATACTAATATCTAATATCGTTAACCTAGGCGGCTTAAAGTTTTGTTTCGAAAATAATTTAACTCTCTAAACATGTAGAAAATGTTTAAAATCAATTTTTATAATTTTCAACATTGTTTTATTTGCTTCATATCACACGTGAACGTACGCTTTTGTAATATTTTCACCAGCGAATCTTTTCCAATATACAGTACTTTCCGGAAAATCTTTAATTTCTTCAATTTAAAAATGGAAGAAATCGATGTTTGGGAAATCTTGATTAACTATTAACGTATTTACTTTGAATTTTTTTTACTGAACGATACTTATATATTTTCAATTCCACCTTCATATCAACTCCGGTTTCACTTCGGTGGCTGCAGCCGCAGTAAGAGCCTTGTTAATTACTAAACGAATATTTAAATAAGCAACATAAATCTTCGTTAATGTCTTTCTGATGATATTAAGTATATTTGCATTTTTTTTAGGATTTTGTAGTGTTATGCGCAGTTCTTGTTGATTAATTTTTTAAAAAAATGCAATATGTAAACAGAAGGTTTATAATTAACAAATTCGAAAACAAATAAAAGAAAATAACACGTTTATCGATAAACAAACAAATTTGGGACACAATGCCCGAAATAATAGAACGAATATATTAAAAATATATAAATATGAACAACTAAATATAATAAAGTTGTTTATTTTACTCCTTCAATCTTCTTAACTACACTAGTGAATCTTATTAATTAAAAGTTATACATTGAACAAACTAAATAAAAAGTAAATTAGTATTTGTTGACTTGAGAAAAGGAAATCAAGTAAGTATAATGAATTCTTCTAATTCTTCTGGAACGTCATCAAGATCCGAAGGTGGTTTATGACCACTTAGAAAGAAATTGACCAGCTAAACACCAATAGTATAATTCTGATCTTGATCTATTGGTTTCTCAAATTCGGTTGAAGGTTAATAATATAATAATATGATTCGTTAATTATGTTCATCTATTAAAATTTTAGTAAATTTGATTTATAAAACTAGTGTCGAGTGATGAAGATAAATACAATAGCAAATATAATTATTCAAAAAATATTATAATTTTTAATTATTCTTGTTCAAATATTCAAAGTATTAGATGGTAAAAAACATCTATAAATTACATAAATATTATATTATGCTAAAATCTTAATTATTACAAAACTTTCTCAAAATAAATACATTATAATAGAGCAAGTTTCATATGTAACATTAAAAAGAATTAAATGGTAATGAATATTAATCTATTTTAAATTATCAATTTTAATAATTAATTCTTACTGTTTTTTAATAAAAACATTTTAATGGTCATAAATACTTAGATAGTAAGCCATTTAATTCCTTTACTTTATTAAACATATATATTTGATTATAATTTTTATAATACTTATAATATGTCATTATACCATATTTTTTGAAATTAAATTGATTGGAAATGATCAAATTTTTATTGGGATAAGTTTGACACTAATAAGGTTTGAATAATAGAAAAAATGAAAAGTTCATGTAAAATCAGGTAATGTTAATGTAAAGCTGAGTTTTAATGGAAAATTTTCTCAAACTTGATTTTCACTAATTCAATAAAATCAAGTTTGAGAGTATCACAAAACCTAAAAATAGGAATGTTTCTTGATTATCTATCATATTATTTTTTCTGAGAAAAATAACATTAGAATTTTTCTTAAACTTGTTCTCTCAATCCAAAATTTTGATCACACATTCTTACTAAGCTATTCTCATGGCCTAAAATTTTTACCACATTAAGCTGTTCTTACTAAGCTATTCTCATAGCCTAATATTTTAGCCACAAGACTTTTCCTATTGTTCTTATTTTTTATAAATATGAATGATACAGAAAATGAAGTTAATCATGAGCATAAAAAAATCTTACCTTCTTCTCTTCTTTCTTTATTAAAATCAAATATTTGGAAATTTTTTTCGAAAGAAAAAAAAACAAAATTATCACAAAATGTAATACTTGTAGGAATGTAATTTACTCAATTAATGGTGATATAACTTCAAACCTTTGGATTCACATAAAAAAAAAGAATAATCTTTAATTGGTATACCAACTAATTAGTATACAATTGAACAATGTTCGAATACAAATAATGAAGTAAGTAAATCATATATTAACATTTTATTTTTAAAGCAAATAAATATATTACGTATATAATAATTAATTATAATTTTATTATCAGCTAATTACAGTAAGTACAAAAATCTTTATGAAAAAAATTATTCTTGTAGATCACATATTTTCAATTATTGAAGAAAGAATTAAAGATGTGTTAGAAAAGGTTATAAGATTTACAATTATATTCTTTGAATAAAAAGAGATATAATATGAGAATTTGGCAAATTTCAAAATCATATCAAAAATATATAGCAGAAACTTTAGGAAAAGTATCATTTTTTTGGACCTTTAGACTTCTGTTGTAATTAAAGTATAAATAAATATTATAATTCACTTTATCAACAAATTATGGAATCTTTGAAAACTTATATTTGACTTTAATAAGTTAGAAGGCATTTATTCTAGTAAATACATAGCTGAAAATTAATCGATATATTAGATACATACAAGATTTCTACAAAAGTTTGTGAAATTATTAATATAAGTTTATTTTAATTTTATATCACAAATAAATATTATACATATAATTAATTTTATAGATTAATTACATTATAACTGATAATGCTCCTAATAATGACATAATATTTACATAGCTTGGCTTATAGTCATTAGAAAATAATATAACTTTTTTGTTAAAAATAATCACATTTGATGTTTTACTTATATTTTGAACCTTGCAGTTCAATATGCTTTAAAAGAACTTAAATGTAAAATAAATTGAATTAGAAATATTATTATTAAATATCATTCTTCTTTCTAATGACGATAAAAATTCAAAGAAATTTTAAATCTTAATTGTATTAAAAATCTGTTTTCAATTTTAGATATTTCGACTTGTTGGAATTCTATATATGAAATAATTAAACGCACTTTATATTTGAATGTAGTTAGTACTTTAGTTAAAATTTTAATTAATAAAGATTTATATATAATTAATTAAAGATTTTATATAATTAGGTTTTGATAAGATCATTTAACTGATGAATTTTCATTCATCAGAAATATTAGCTTAACTCAATCAGATTAGAAATCTCTTAAGGAGATTGTAATTTTTTTAAAGTGATTTGCAAGAATTTCTACTGAAATATATGCATCGACTTATCTTAGTTTATTACATGTATAATCATTTAATGAATTATACTTAAAAAATAATGAAAAATAGAAAATCTTTAAAATCTTTAGTTGTAGCTACAAAGGTGATATAGAATAAACTTAGTGAATATTACA